TTATATCGCTCTACGCATGTACACACACGCAGTTGCGTGTGCGACACATATACATACGGATACAGGTCAATTGATCCGATCAATAGGTGTCGATGAGAACTAGCACTCGCTATGTCTCAGCGAAAATATAAAATAGCGTAACGCGATCGTATGGCATACCAGCGTGAATTAAGGCGGTGAGTTCTATGTCAGTTTGTCGACATGATGAAATAATTGTTCGGCAAATCTATCAGACGCGAAGGGAAACTTGCATTCGTGCGAGAAAGACTCTTCTATCTCTGGTTATATTTCAATATTGACAGAACGCGAACAATAGCTCCTTAATCTCGTGGAGTAGCCACGCATCGCGGGCCAGAGTCGCAATTTGGGGAGATTCTTCGACTTAATTAATCGGGCACGGTTGTGTGTGTGTGTGTGTATATGTGCGTATGCGGGTATGTGCGTGTGTGTGTCTCCGCCGTACTTATAAATCACATTTTTCGAACACGGAAAATCGGAGCAACCACCATTAATCGATCGCAGACACTCATTTTGTGTAGCACACAGCAGCGTGACGATTCATTCATTCATGCGTTCGTTCATACGTACGCTCGCGCGTTTCACGGTAATGTTTTTCTCGAGGCCGGCGCGCGAACGAAATTATCCGATGGATTAAGAAGGAAAGAAAGAAAAAAAGGATAGCGAAGAGAGAGCGATACTAAATAATAATTGCATTAATAATGAAGGTATAATATTGCCGATAATTATATTGTAACGACACACGAAGGGATGATGATATATTAATAATACAATACTATTTATAAACCGCGAGAGAAGAGAGAGAGGGAGAGAAAGGTGAGTCGGAGGTACCCGGCGAGGGGAGGAAACGCGACGCGAGTGAGAGGGTCGAAGGAGAAGAGAAACGAGAGGCGGAAATGAGGAGATAGGTAGTTTGGCAGTAGGCTGATGGTAGAGACACGGCACGTCTAATATTAACGAACAAAAAAAATAATTAAAAAAAGTAAAGTATAAAATATATCATAAACGCGAAAAAGGTACAGTAGTGGTTTACTATTGGCTGACACGTAGTGTGAATGCTGACATAGGAAAAGCATGCTGGCGAAGGGGAGCTTTTGTCGATTTTTCTGTGACGGATGGGGATGGTACGTCGCGCGATTCCGCGGGACACGTGGGGTGATAAGCTTTGGGAGCGCGTGCACATGTTGAATCGGTTCGTTTTGCAAGATATGCCGGGAATGGACGAAAACGAGGCTTTCTTTCCGCGCGACTTCGCTCGACTTACATTGATTGAGTTTCGTCTATAATTATAGATTATGTCCATGACATTTTTTTTCTCCTCGCACTCGACAATATTTCATTCTGTTTCACCGTCAAATCTCATTGTACAGTTACCGTTACACTGCCCCTTTACTATATTTTTATACTTTATATGAGATGGTATTTTTTGATGTTTCTCGTGCATAAGTTATCGTTTGTGCTTGCGCAAAATGAAAAAAATTTAATAGACTGGAATTATTAATATCGAATCGGTAGGTTTACAGAGAAGCGCATGATTGCGGATGAGGTCGGTGAGAAGTAAAACGCGAGACTGCCAGAAAGGGAGAGAACGAGAGGACAGATTAAAGAACGAAAATGGTGAGAATGGTTGCGAATACTTGCGAAAGAAGATTAAGCGGAAGTGTATGAGAGGGCGAGAAAGGGAACTTGATCGAGTGAGAGAGAGAAAGAAAGAGACAGAGAGAACGCGAGAGAATGCGGAGGAACGATTGTAGATTCGGAAAGTCACTTAGCCAGCAGACTGCTGTTCATAGTGCCCTGTTATAGTGGGTTCCCTAGGCAGAGTGGCAGAGACGCGGTTAAAAAAAAAGGAAGACAGAACGGAAATGCGTAAAAGCCAAGGGGAGGAAAAGGGAGAGAAGCGTAAAAAACGAGCAACTCAGTCTCACTACGTTCGAAACGCACCTTTAGATGCGAACACGCGAGCGTCGCGACGACGATTACCTGTACGAGAGTCGCGTCGAATATCAATGTCGCGAGATAACATTGTAATCGATAAACAACGATGAAGCGATGGATTACTTATTGTAAGCGATATCGAGCACCAAGTTTTGCCGAGTCTCTCGTCGTCTCGATGAAGGACGCGACGATTCACGCACGCGGGTGACAACCGTAGATGCTCCTAAATACGACGAAATAGCGGTATCGATTCTTACAACATTTTGTATCCTCGTATCACATGTGCAGAGAACGATGATCGTGTAGAGATGATGACGACGGTCGTCACGTTGTCGATACAGTCGAACGCTGTTGGATTCCTAGCGTGATTCTTCGTGGTTGTTTCGAGTCCTGACAGCGCGCATCATTAGAAACGACTTACAATTAGACGAGATGGACCGCTCGATCATTCTTTAAGTTCTCGTCCAACTTAGGGTTCCGGGCCCCCGTGGAGAACTTTAAAATGCGACCGGATACCGAAAGAGAGAGATGGAGAGAAATGCGAAAGTGCGAAAAAGAGAGATTGTCCGGAAAACGAGGCACTCCGCCCTCTGCCCACGGGACCCTAATCTATTTTTCAGAATACGCTATTGTGATTATTACTATATAACAATTTAAAAAATTAAAACGACAAAAATATATATACCTTGTATCATTGTTTATTATACGATTCCGACGATTATATTATTTATAATGTTAATAATCTATATTAACGATAATTACCGCATTATACCATTATTATATTTAGTACTATTATAGAGAGCGAGGCTGCTGCTATATTAATGAATTAAGTACTAAAGGATTAAGTAATTCTTATCCTTTTTTAGACTTTATATATAAATATACACATGATTAAAAAAAAAAACATACCTCTCACGTTACTGCGTTAGTACCGTACGATTTACGTGTGTTTCATTTTCGACATTCAATCGCTTTACTTTTCTAGGCGCTACTCAGTCGACATTTCTGCTTTCGTTGAATCGGTTTGCATTCGACGACTACGTTATTTTATATATCATAATAGGTATAGACTGTACCATGAAATATTAAGTAAAAATAAATTTGATTAGGTAATATGCCACTTCTTTTTTTCGCAAAAAAATCCTCTTTCCACGATATATTATGTATCTTTTTTTTTATCACTGAACGTTTCCTAGATACATAAAAAGACTGTGTATAACGAAAATCGATTTCTTTCAATATTTTATTTTGTTTTGGAATAAACATGATTATTATTTTATAAGAAATTAGATTATTTTATAACAAAAGTAAAATTTTCTCAACAAGTTATACAAGAATATGGGTACTATTAAATTAAATTTGGCTACTTAAAAGTTTGAGAGTTAAAAGAAAGAAATCTTATAGATAGATTATTTGTTATCTTTTATAGTGTTTAATATGGGATAAGGTTCTGAATTAGGTCAGGCTAATCTTGTAATATGCACACATTATATATAAGTATTTTTTCTCATCTTTATTTAATATCGTAGCACATACTATTCCAAAAATTCATAAGTACGATGTATTGTTGTATAGATAAAAAAGTACAAATATTTACAAAATACTGTAAAAATGAAATCGATTTGGAACGCTTAAGGATATGAACGTCATTCAAATGAGCTTTTCATACGCTGTTCACTCTGTCATCGTATATGACTAGACACATTGGACATAATAGGTAGCTTTTATAAAAGTCACCGGCGCAGTTATCGCTGTGCCTTGTTGCTTTTTTTTTATGGCAGTTGTGGTCGTTCACGATGAGAGAATATCTGAGCGAATGATATGAGCACAGGACTTGGATAATTGGCCTTAACTTTACGTACTCGTAGTACGAGCTAGATTGCTGCAAGGTATATTCCTAGCGTAGTTTATATGTTACAAGCAATGACGGAGATCGTATTTAAACGTAAGTATATGCTCGGAATATTTTTATATTTAAATATGACTGGCTTACATTGTGATAACCGTGCATGCAATTTAATTCTTTTTCATTCAGATATATTCAAGTTGTGATAAAAATTACTATTTCATGTGGAAATATCGAATGATATTCATTGCAGAAATATTCTTTAGATGCGTATCTTCGATAAACATTTCTATTCGAATATTTTTAAAAGAGCACATTAGTTTTATACTACTACTTTAAGTACGCTCACCATCACTGATCACAAGAATATTTCTTGATGTATATAGCGAACATTTAGGAAGCATTATAAAATTCGCTCGTAGAGACGCTACGAGTTCTGATGATCCATTGATACTTGAAGGATTATTTTCGTGCTTTTACATATTCTTAATTAGAGTATCCGCGAAAACACGACGATGCGGACAAATTGTTTTCGCGGTTTGCTATGCTCGGTATGACGAGGGTGCTTTAAATTTAGAGAACAGTCGCATATTTCTCATTGGCAGTATTTCGTATATCTATATATGCGTATAGGGTACATCATATATTTATCGCATGCACAAGCCGACGATTCGCTTATAGTTGCTCGTTTTAACGAAATTTTTCAAAAAGATTTTTTCTTGGAAAAAATTTGAAACAGCTTGTCAATAACGACATTTCAAAGCAATCTCATTGCATCAATTCGTGCTTCCTTTTCCTAATATTCTCTTCATGGTCTAATTGTTACTTTTTTATTAAGATATTACTCTGCGTCATCTGTTCAAAATCGTGTCATTGGAGATTGGAATCGGAAAAGTGGATTGAATAGGTTTTTTAATCATCTTTTTTTGTTCAAAGAGGTCACAAGTTATCTCGTATATCTCATCCGTGAAACTCGATCGGATCATATTTCCATTTGATGAAGCCAAAATTAATGCGGATACATGTTACAACGTTCTTCTGCACGATTCTATGTCACATTTTAATTCTTCGACAAGCTATTAATTCGTAATACGAATGAGATACACACAATTCTTTCTTGCTACGAGCATTTCCGCCACTGTCGCTTGCACGTTTAAAAAATTATCTAAAATGTTATCTTTTTATTGGTGATTCTTTCTTTTTTTCCTTTTCTATCCTTCGAATCTCTCTTTCGAACTATCGACCCAAGTCTTGTACAAAGTGGAAGAAGCAAACTTGCGTATTTCATAACTGTCTCGTGTAAGTATTATTACAGTAGAATTAAATGCAGAAATAGAGAACAATATTACAACTTACCGTTAAAATACGAATATTAATTTTCGTTGTACAAGTCGGATAATAATACGGAGGGTCGAATATATATATATATTCCTCTTATTGGACCGTTGCATATAGATTGTTCGCGCCATTTATCAAATCGTAAATCTCTTGGATGCACAAAAATATCGCGAGCGATACTTCGCCTGGTCTGATCAATTAGAATTGATATTTTCTAATTTTCGTATGTAAAAATAAGTTTTCGAATATCATTCTGTATATGCTGTATCATTATCATTTCTTCGCGCACCAGCATCCAGCCATAATCCTTTCATCTCTGATATACCAACATGACGAAATTTCTTCCAGCAATGAAAAATCACCCGGGATTCGAATGATCGCATTATTAATGAAAATTAATACGATGATTCATGCTAGTTTTTCGCGCTTAAAGAGAACTTACACGTATACCATCGGTATGTACAAGGCCGTCTTGTTCGTCAAATACGAGTGGTCGATTACGTCCTTATCACACATAAATATATATATAATATATGTATATGTTATAAATAATTCTTAAGTTTTATATGAATGTGTCTTAACAGAGCGCGTGTAAAAGTATGTAGGCGGAGATAAGATTTCCTTCGTCATTTGATATGGTCGTGATACTTTCTTAATATGCGTGTCGTTGCAGTGCCGAGTCCGATCACTGACATTTCATCGAGAACATCCGCGTAATCTCGATTGAAACGTTCCCGTCATCAGTTTCCAACTGCGGCTCATCTAACGATTAACATATCTTACGAGTATTCGATGTGTGGTGATCATATCCCTATTATTATATCGATACTGTATACTATAAGTATTGCATTAATTGCGAATAACGTGAATGGGCCCATACAGATTCGTTACTTAGTCCGACAATAGAACAGTCAATGGAGCGGAGAGAGAGACGTTATTCGAAATAAATATTATTTCCTTATCGAGCTAGTGTAGACACGATAAAATACTGTAATATGAATAATTATTGTGGAACCAATGGTTTACTATAATACCTATCTATATCTATCTGATACGTAATATATAATATGGAAACGATAGAGAAGAGATCGAGATAACGTTTAAAAATCACGATATAAGACGGAGATTGCTTGATCATGCGATTTCGAAAATTCGTGTAACAAGATAGCAAAATCTAAAAGTGTTCAAGATACAATGATAATAAATGAATCTTTGCGATAAAGCTCCTTTTTATGCAAGAGCTTTATATATATATAAAATATATCAAAACTTCTCGTACAGTAGAGATACTACTTACTTGATCACATATAACGAAGTGTATCAAAATGGTACGAGATATGCGAATTTCGCGTATGGTCTATACATCACGGTTCGCGCGGACGTATCAACGTCATTGAAACACATAATTTTCGCGCGTTCAATGATTAATGAGCAAGCATTTTCCATTTACAAAAGAAAGGTAAATTCCTCCTACTATTCATTATACGCGTATATAATTGATACGAAGCGTTTAACATGAAAGCCGGTTAATTATTCTCGCGTACGCGCGAAGTCACGGTTTTTGGGTCCCCTCACCTAGCTCAGGATGGGTCACCGCCGCATAAATAATCGGCGCTCGTCAGCCTTACCTCTCAACGTACAGCTCCGCACAATCATTACCCCTATTGCAATATTTCCGATATTTAGAGCCTCGCATAATTTAATCACCATAGTTCCAGACTACAGGCAGCTATCGACCACAATTTCGCCTATTTTCGAGACTACCTCGTCGAAGGTCGGTCTCTCGCGCGGATCGTTTGCCCAGCATTGCGTTTGGAGCTCCTGGAGAGCCGGCGGCGCTGCCTTATGTGGCTTCCATATGAGCGTTTGCGCCTTAATTTGAGCCAGCACGGACTCGTCGTTCATCTTGTTGAATGGCAATTCACCCTGGTGGAACATCTCCCAAACGAGACAGGAGAACGAATATACATCGCTCTTAGTAGAGAATTCATCCTCATACACGGCCTCGTAAGGCAACCATCTCAGCGGAATCACTTGGTTTCGATGCTTTGTGTACTCTTGCTGATATGGTTCTTTGGTCATGCACGGTAGCGAAATTTTGATCGTCAGGTTGCTGGCGATCAAGCAATTACGCGCGGCTATGTCTTTATGGACCAATCGGTTATCGGCCAAATGTTTTAGGCCCTTTGCAGCTTGGTTCGATAGCGATAATATCTGCGCTACCGATAATTGAGGTGCACGCGGCGGTTTTGACTCATGCGTTGGACTTGGATTGTTATCTTTTCGCGAGGCGATCAAGAACTGCTTCAAGTCACCCCAGTCAGTGTACTCAAGGATCATGTAATCGGGCTCCTCTTCTCGACACAAGCCGATCAACTTGACAACATTCTCATGGTTTAGCTTATGAAGGAGATCCAGCTGTCGCTTAAATTCTTGAAGAGCAATCTCGTCCTTTGTGTTTATGAGACTCTTGACCATAACCAAAGATTCCTTGTCACCGTCAATCTGATACTTTGTAGCGTAAATTTCGCCGAATTCACCTCGCCCGAGAGGTTTCAGTTCCTTCAGATTGCTTCGCGAAGCGGCGATTTTGTCATAATTCGATTTGGATTTCTTAGACTGGTTGCTACTCTGGCTCTGGGCTGTATCCGCGCCGTCACTCTTGTGAGAATCGCGATTCTCCTTCTTCTTGCTCGTCGAATTGGCTTTATTACCGGTTTCTTTTAATTCTGTTTGTTCCTCCGGTACATCGCCATTTTCCATTTTTTCTGAAATTCATAAATATGTACGTTGACTTAAATATATGCATTATACTGTTAAATTATTACGTATATATTAACATCGTGACCAATCATACCTTCCGTTTGTTCCTGTAAATATTGTTGCTTCCTGCGGCGACGTCGATAACGGCAATATAACATGAGACCAACAACGAGTACCATATATGCTGCGGCTGCGCTAAGAGTGATCGTTACCGTCTTGGTCATCATCGAACCATCATCACTAGCCTCCAAATCCATATCGGCTCTATAATTATCTCCAGCTTGAATCATAATTATTCTATCGTTATAAAATAGCTTCCAATCAATTAAAAATAACTCAGTAATATTTCACAATTTGAAATTATTATAATAGTGTAATATATAGCGCAAACGGAAAAAATACCTTTCACATTTAATTGGACTTCTTCCCGTTTCAGCCCACCGCTATTGCCGGCGGTACATCCGTACTTTCCTTCATCGCTTAGATATACTTCTTTAATGTACAAACTTCCGTTACTTAATACTTCGAAACGAGGATTATCTAAATTATTCATACGAGAATCCCTATCCCATTGAATGGTCGGCTTGGGATCACCCTCGGCGGCACAATGTAACATCACTGGATATCCTTCAATCGCCTCCGTTGGGTTTTGTGGCTGTATCGTGAACTTTGGTGCAACTATGAAAGACAATATCGACAATGTTAATTTATTGTTCGCTCTATACTTGCAATATAAGCACTTTGCTACTTACTAACTACATCGATGCTAATCGTGTGATTGATGGATCCCTGAGCGTTGCTTGCGATGCAAGTGTATCGACCCTTGTCTTCCATCAAAACGCCGTTGAAGTGCAGAGTGCCATTGATATCCTGCACGTGTTTAGGGAATTCCTCGTCCTCGTCTTCATTGACCCACTTCACCGTGGGATTTGTAGCACCCTGGGCTTTGCATGATACCTTCGCCGTAGAACCGAGCTCTAGACGTTTATTGACAGGCTGGGGCGAGAACTTGAGCTTCTCCTCGACCGTGAGAATGGCCTGATCCGAAAACAAGGATGGGAATCCCGTGGTGAATACCTGGCACATATAATGTCCTTTGTCGGACAGATCAACGCTCTTGAAATGCAAGGTAACATTGCCGTGATTATCTGTCACGCGGTATCTCGTCGGCCCGCCCGATTCCCTCAGCTGCGTTCCATCTTTTAACCAGTGCACGTGCGTTACGGGCGGTTCCATGCCGGAATAAGAACAGGTTAATGTTACGGAATCACCTTCCATCACGCTAAGCGATTCTGGAGAGCTTATGATACTCGGCGGGGCTAAAAATCAACGAGAATAAATATATATACCTTTTGTATCATTATAAGAATTTTAATTAAATTAAATTAATTGTATCTTAAAAAAAACGTATTATTGTTTTTAATTATACTAAATTTTTTTATTTAATTATTTATTTGTTCGTAGAATCATATAAGCTTACTGGATATCACTATTTGGACGGATATATCCGTTTCGCCGGCTAGATTCTCGGCCGCACAAGTATAATTGCCGTCGTCCTTGCCCATTTCTGCCTTTGCGATGATGAGCGTGTTGTCTTGTACGCGCACGGAGCCAGTGTCGCTTATTATATGTCCTGTGGGATCTCTCCAATATACTTTAGGTGGCGGAACTCCTAACGGTTCCAGACAACTTATTTGGAATTCTTGATCCTCGCCAACAATCGCTAATTGAGTCGGACGTTTCGGTTCGAAGGCGGCCAGTGAAAAGTTGAGTAAATCTAAAAATTTTATTTATGTGTCTGGAAACTTTGCTTATACTTTCAAAAGTACAAAAAGTTAACTGTGCGCAGTTAAATATAATTATAATTTTTATTTCATTGCAATTTGCCATTTAAAAAATATGAGTTGAGTTTGACTAATATTATAAAATTTAATTTGCTCCCTGAACACGACTTAGAAAGCTTTTGACACGTACAGGCAATTTGTAATTCGACCGTGTAAACGATTGTAGTGTCGTCCCTTATTCCGTGGCAGGAATAAAATCCCTGGTCCCTTTGATCAGCAGCGTGTATCACGAGAGTGCCGTTCTCGAGAATCGTCTGCTCCTCGTCGGATTCCAGAGGGCCGATATCCTTGAAAAACCACTGTACCACGTCCGCGTCCTCGAAGACACAGTGTAGCACAGCCGGTTCGCCGCGCTTAGCGATTAGATTTCTTGGAACAACCTTGATCGTCGCAGTTTCATTTCCGGAAACGATTAACGGATAACTCTCGGTCATCGGCGAGGCTCCTGCCTCGTTCTTGGCCTGACAGGTGTACATACCACTGTCCTCGGCGACAGCTCTATGTATGTGCAGCTTCTTCTTCTTGATCTCGACACGGTCGCTTCGCGTCACGCTCTCCGCATTTCTGTGAAATGAATGAAAACTTTTGCTGTAATCATCTCCGCGAGATATGCAGATTATCTCATTAAAAGTCGAATCAAATTTTGCATCGCTTAATTACTTCGCTAACACTTCTGGCAAAGACGTCAGATTTATTCCGATAATTCATCCGATGGACTTTTTCATTAGTGATTTTAGATGTGCTCAATTTAAAATTTTAAATGTGTCAATTCATAATTTTATAATGCACATTTTAATCTATTTTATTCCTTAAAACAATTCCTAATATAAAAAATCAACATAAATTATCTCGCGATAAAACTTCCCGACTTCCTTTACTTTGCCACTATCTTCAAATTAAAGACAGCGATGGACATGTATGAAATATTCGAATGTACGAAAATATCGAAAAAGACAAAGTTTTTTATTTTTAACGCAAACTCTTGACAACACCCAAGGGAGGGTCACTTTATAATTCATCGGTCCGGTTCCGTAAACGCGTCGGATATCAGCTAACGCTAGAAACTTGGTTCTCCCAGTTTTTTTGTTATTGCCCCCTTTCCCCTTCCTCGTTCTCATTATCATGCGAGATACGCGGGTAAATATACAAAGTTAGAGTAGACAAAGAGAAACCAACTTGAACCACTCATATTTCATGTCGCCGGAACCGTCGACGTGACATCGAAGCTCGATCTCGCTGCCCACGCGGATCGCGGATGGTAATTTCGGCTGCTGCAGCAACACGCTTGCCTCGCTGACCCCTGAAACAGAAATCGATAATGCCTCGATAATTACCAATTAATCAAACAAATATTTACGATGTATTATGTATATTAATTGTGTACACGACGGAGGTAGATGGATAAACAAAATAAACTTTTAATTTAATATTCCCTCGAGTCGAAATTTCGCTGCCATTTTTAACATCAACTTTTTTCTCGTTTGTGGATTCGAGGGGACTTCGATAATTTTAGATTTAACAATTAGAAATAAAAATTGATTTCTTTTATACTTTATATCTCAAATAGACAATAAACAGTTTTCTGTTTTTTTGTTAGAGACTTAAAAGAGGAGTTTTTGGCAAAAATATCCATATAGATTAAACAATTTTGAAAGATAGTGTACTTAAAATATCAAAGTATATAAATTAGATTAAAAATTAAGAAAAAAATTTCGATTCAAATTTAGCAACTAATTATTACATGCTTCAATGTATATCTTTGGGTAAAAAATTGATGTAAATGAGTGTGCGGTATAACACTCTCGTTTTTATTTAATAATTATCGATTATTATTCAACGAATAATACAACTTGCTATTCACATAATATACCGCGAAAGTATGCGTTTCGTGTAAATTCCACGCTCACGTGTGTGCGACGATACAAAAGAAAGATTGCAACATGTGCTATTAATATCGCGGATATTAGATGCGGCGAATCTAAAGCTAATAACTTGGAGATTATACGCGATATATCGCGAAGTGGCTGCGCGTGTAATTACGCGCGGTGCGTGCCCAACAATTTCTTCCCGCTGGCATTCTTCTTTGTACTACACAGAAATCAGCAAAGAAAATCGAATTAGAAGAGGAAGATAGTTATAGAAGAAGAGAGGCGTACGAAATAAACGAGCTCCAATTTCTTTACGATGTTCGATGCCGTACGAGACCACCCGGAGAAAGAACGCGCTTAACCCGCGGATATCACCGAAGACCCGCTGGAATTCTAGAATGGAAAAGAAGCGCAGGACAATGGAAAGGAAAAGCAATTCCACTGGAAATAGAGGTTGGGACATACAGATAGAGAGAGAAGGAAGAGGAGGGAAAGGTAAAGGAAAAGGGAGAACATAGAAGAGGACGCTCGATTCCTGGGAATGTCAGGTTGATTCCTCCTGTCGTTGCTCTCTCCGTTTTTGTACCCGGATCAAACCCGTCGTTGGTCGTCTGAAAATGTGCGCGGCTCCGCTTCTCTCTCGACGAATTTAATCGAGTCAAATAAAACACCGACTAAGAGGAGAGAGCGAAAAAGAGAGAGAGAAAGAGAAAAAAGAGAGAGAGATAAAAAGAGAGACTATGTTTCCATTCTCCGTTCGTCTTTCCTTGGCTGTTTGCGACATGTCGCGAGCGAACTCGTCAAAGCCGTGTGTCCCATATATTATTTGTGAGGGACAGAAAGAACCCTCGGAAGAAGAACCGAAGAGTTTTGATCGGCTGCTCTTCGCGTCGGGTGTCTGCCGTTTTTTTCTCATCTAGACTTTACGGCAGGAGTTGTCTTTCAATGTTCGAAGGTGTAACGAATCCATATCGATTATCCATATCAAGAAGAATATTTAATCATACCGTGTTGCTTTATATATTTATCTGTCAAAAATTAAATTATTCTTAATTTTTCATTTATCTCGTACATAATTGTAATGATTAAAAAAATAATAATAATTAAAAACTGTAGAAATTAACGAAGAGAATAGCAATAATAACAGCGGGACGATGAAACACGATAACTTATTTCGATGCCAGGTGGATGTTGCCGAGTAAATCTACATTCGAGAATCCTTAATGGAGGAGAAACTAAAGTCAAGCCCCTTTCGATTCGTCCAACTTTGCGGCGGGGAAGTAACGTCAGTTAGGGACGAAGGGCACGTCGTAATTCAGGGCAACAGTTGCCGAAGACCGTGTGGACGATAAGGCTTCGTTCATTAATTTGATTCATTAGTCCACGGCGTGAAATTGATCGGTCGCGCCGGCACCCTCGACGGATAAAATGAAACGTAATTACGCGCGTCTGGGGCCTCGTTAAAAAATATGCCAATAGTTGAAAGAAAAACGCGCGTCGTTAGCGCGCGGGGAAATCGCATTTGAAGCGACCGTTATGTCGCAAATTGCGCGCGCGTCACACACACCGAATCGACTCTAGAGTTTGTAAGCGCGCGATAATTTACTCGGATAGACTCGTTAACGCGAACGTAACGAACGATTCGTACTTCTACAAAGCGGATGAGCAATTTATTACTGCACGACGCGACGGTAGGATCGAGGTGTAACGGCAGCATTTGATTTATGTCTCAATTAACGAGCTTCGTTTTATAAAGTAAAATCTTAATCACACATATCAGATCGTCAACAACTCTAATCTTTTGCATTTATCTAAAAATGCAAGATGTATTATATCGCATCTTTGGAAAGTACCTGATTCTATAATATGTAAGTGTGATAATTAGGAGAGAGTTGCTTGCATCGTATCGCTTAAGATATTTTATATTTATTATTGCATATTAATTTATAAATCGTACTTTTATCAATTTCCAAAATCGCGTACCTTCTTTTAAAGTAATAAATTTGCAAATGGAAATACATATTAAGAACAAATAAAGAAGCAACTAACATGTAACAATTAAAAAATAATATAAATATAATTTATATTAACATTTTCATTTCATAAATTTACAATTTGCATATCTTATCAGTTTGTAATAAACGCAGATGTGTTTTGTCATTCATGAGACAGAAACGACTCTGGAATTATTCGAGATGGCATCATTAACACTTTGGTACTCTCAGCCTGATTCGATCTTTTTATCTTCGTCTACGCGGCGAGCTCCTGTCGTCGCTACTTTTTTCTCTCGTATTCTGTCCCTTTCGTTCTCGATATCGCTGACGCAAAGTGCAGACTCGGCAACGCGTCGAGAGACGCTTCAACAAGCGATGCGCGCGAACGCGATTAAAATGAATTTCTCGAGAACCGCGTAATAACTTACACCGCGTTAATATGGCGCGTTAACGAGTTGCATGTGCTGTAAATTATCCTTTTTAGCCAATAATTATATATTTAGTCAATTTTTATAAGCTATAAATCTAACGTGCAAAATGCATTAATATTCCATGTAAATTGATCGAGCTGTCAAATGTAAATGTTAACGGAAAGCTCATTTAAAACGCGGACCGCCGATATCAATTCAGTTCGTCGCTGCACGAACGTTTCACGGTGTGACCAACGAACGTCATTCCCACGAGATGCGTTTTCAATGTCACCAGTTCATGAGAATGAACTTTGAAGTTGTCACGTGTCCACGTGACAGTCTCTCCCAGCCCCCATAGTCTGATCATTGATCGTAAACCGTCCGGCTCGAATCGTTGCGCGAAATTAGTGGTAAAAATGTCTACGAGTGATTCACGGTCGGAACTGACGATACATGAATCTGGAAAGAGGAAGGTAGAAACGTTTGATTGTTATTTCTTCTTTCTCTTGCGCCCTTTTCTCAACGACGCGTGCTCGTCGACAAACAGGCGAGCAATTTAAAGAGAACTCGCGCTCGAAAACGCGCTCTTCCAGCATCGAGTCCATTAAAGAGCATTAATCTCAAGGAGTTATTATCGAGGAAGCGGATTTAAGGGTGCCGACAGAGTCGGCGGTACAAAGCTACGAAAGAGTCGCAGCAAGAGAAGACGGCCAAACCAGTCGCGAAACGAGAGAGAGAGAAAGAGAGAGGCAAAGAGGTTCTTCCCAGGTACGGAGGAACGATGGAAAGTTGAAGTCACGAGGAGAAGGGCTCGTTTGACGAAAGTCTCACTTTACCTTTCGAAGGTCCAAACGAGATTTCGTCGACCCACTCGAGCCATTTCTCTTACATTGTGGAAGCATCTCTTCCCCTCGACTCCACCATACGCTATCCCTTCTCCCTCTCTGTCTCTTCCTGGCATCGTTTTCCCCCTGCCAGCACTCGTTTTTCGCTCCGTCTCTCTCCGTTCGTCGCCTCTCGTTGCCCCTCCGCATCTCAGCGAGTCGTGTTTAAATGCACAAACGAAGCGACAGATCAAAGGAACCGCCGGCAGTGCGTGCACAGCCACGAGAGTAAAGGTAGAACGGGGAAAGAAAAGAGAGAGAGGAGACGAAACGAAGATAGACAACGTTTATTATTATCATCGTGGCCCCCCCCCCCTCCCTCGTCGTCGTCGCCCGCCGCTATTTCTCCTCAGCATCCAGTATAACCTCGCGTAGTCGAGATTAACTTTCGTGTAAACAGGCCGTCGCCACCACCGGGTGTACGCACACACTGCGACGCGTGCACGCAAGCGCCGCGCACGCCCGCATATGCCCGACCCGTGTCTCCGATGGCAACCTTGGATCGAAGGTCGGCTGCGGTATCTTTGCCAGTACAATACTTGCCAAGCACCTGCGCGCGACATATGTACGTAGTATATTCTTTTGTAGATTTAATCGAAATTCTAGCTATTTATATAATCTGCACGAGTCATGTTGATCTCACAAATCTAATGCATAAAATTTTTGGTTGTAAAAAATGTACGTTTTTAAAAAATTTTTTTTTAGAGAACTTTTGTGAGAAGAATAATTTTATTTTTGTTTTTTTCATACGAATAAAAATTCTTTATCATTGTTCGTTGGATCAAAGAGACCGACTCTGATATCTTCGATAACCATCTTCCTGCTTGTCAATATAGATTAGGATTTTAATTGCCTCCTAGTGATAAGAATTCTGAAGCGGTACTCGAGCATCGATTGCACTCACGAAATACATACATTATAATACAGATTCAGACCTTACGAATATTCAATAAAACGCAGATAAAATTTCTCTCGCAATTGGCGCACCAGATCAAGATCATATCTTGACCTTAAAGATGCACAAATGTACAGTATAGTTTAGTGACTGTTTAAAGGAATACGATCGTTAAAATTGCGTTAAAATTACTACAGGTATGTAGACGTCTAATAATTCGATACGACGTAGCAAGGGATATAACTCTTC